AAATTATAAGTCGTCCATGGTTTGAATCCAAGTTGTCGGATAACGAAAACCGCTTTCCTTCTTTCAATGGCCTAAAGTACAAATTAAATAAAATTTATATTGCATAGGATACATGATAAAGTTTTTCTATTTATGTATAATACAATTTAACTTAAAAGTTTAATTGGTAATAAAATGTATAGTTTAATAATAATTTATCAGTACCTAATCTTTACGTGTTCAAATAATTTGAAGTTAATGGAGATTTTTTTTTTTTTGCATATTATTACTGCATATTTAATGGTTATTGGATATTTCACCATAATTTGACAAAAATCAAAATGTGTTGCATATTAAATGGAAAATTAAAAAAATATTTATAAGATAATATTTTATCAACCATAAAATGTAATAATACATTTTATAGACACTAAGTGATTATTCAATTAATTAATATTAAATTATAAATTAAAATTTTTTTTTGGTTATTAATTATAGTAAATACCTATAATTTTAAGTTATTTAATATATTTAAAATTATTATTGGGTCACACATATATAAACTATTAAATTGAAGATTTTATATCATATACACAATTTAAAATATTTTTTCTTGCATATTTGTTGCATACTATTTTCATGATTTTGACTGCACTTTTTAGTGCATACAAATCAGCTCACTAAGTAATAAACAATAAACAAATATAATTTAAATTTCATATTTGAGAATAATTTATATCTATCAATTATACAAAGCAACAATCTTTTAACATTATACAAATAATCTACTATATATTAACCTTCAATTTTCAAATCTTCTAAGCAAGTAAGTTAAGAAGGGTTTATATACTGCTACGTTACTTTTGTATAACGCGTTTAACAGAACTTTAGTTTATTAATTAAACTTCATCTGGAAGATCACCGATCACCTCATTAAAAATCTGATAAGGTTTATCGCTAGATATTTTAGCAAGATTTTTATACGTTGTATTTAAAGTTTTCTACTTCCAATGTAATGTAATTTCCGTCATGATTATGTTAAATTAGTAATTTTGCTTTATAAATCTCTTTCGGTGTACATAATACTGCATCACACTTGATTTCACTTCAGAGTCGGATGTCTCGGTGCTGCTGTCAATGGGAAAACAATTATGAGTTGGGTATATAATAGTTTTCGAACAGTTGATAAAAAAAAAACCAAATGCCCCGAACGTACTGTACCACCTCCCGAGAATACGGAGTCTTACCGTCTGAATGCGCACTGCACCTTAACTAACGATTCATTGTTTTTCACAAACGCATCCTACGCAACCACACGGTGAACTAACTCCACAGCTCCATAATGACAATGAATGAACGGATGCTGACCGATCGAATGAGCTTATCTAGACCTTTCTACTCATCCCTATTCCCGTGGCCCACCCTGTATATACCAAGGCAATCCAATGCTACTAGAGGGCCAATTTTGAATGTGCAAAAATCTAGCAGGTCAGAGAACATAGAAAGCAAAAAAAAAAACCTAACGTTAACTATAACGTCTATAAATAATAATATAATATTATTTACATTTAATAGTTCAATACTAGATAAGAATTTATATCTACGTTTACGATAAACATGATATCGGTTTTAATAATTTTATAAATGTAATAAAATAAAATACAGAAAAAATCTTTGTATATATGCTTAACTTTATTATTTATAAATATTTTAATCTTGTTTTGAACTTCTAGTTCTTGGCTATAAAAATTGAACATTATATACATTTTTAAGTACAAAAATAATTGATAATGTTTGCGATTATGGATGAATTTTTGCCAAAATTTGAATTTAAAAATGCTTAAAAAAAAATTGTGCCTTTTAATCTCTATATGTTCATTACTTTTGAACTTCTAATATGAAATTACTTATGGCCTACATTGTTTTATTTTCCCGACATTTCGCATACATTTTGTCTTACGTGAAGTGTATACTATCTATGATTTCTGTTGTCTCAAAAAAAAATTATTGTTATATAAACAGAATACCTAATGACCAGTGGCGCAAATAGGGCTAAATGTTGGGAGGGGGCTGTAGTATATTCAATTACAATAAGAAAAACTTATGTGGGATCTCGATATAAATCTTCAAGCTTATTTAACCCTTATTTCAACATTTTATCATAGCTGCATAAGAACGAAATTTGTAGTTGATAACTGCTTTCAAGCAAAAATTTCTATTTTTCTTCAATTTATTATTTTTTTGTTTATCTCGGTTATTTTAAAAAGAATTTGGAATTTTTTACTTTTGACCCCTCTCACATCCTAAAAATAAAAATATCAACGAGATCCAATTTGCTAGGATAAATCACCATCAGTCGAAGAATTTTCAATACTCGAATGCCTCTTAAAGCTCATCGCCAAAATAAAAACACACGATTGAAAAATCATAAGATAAAACTTAAAAACCGCTGTAGCTGTCGGACTTATTAAATTAAGTCTAGCAAGTACTTTTTGGTTATAGAATATTGTATGAACTTAAGGGGGATACGGATTAAGGATACCAATTTGTCAGATTTTAATTTTCACGAAAGAAGTCATATAAAGGCAATACAGAGAGTACTTACTCACTATCTGCATGCACCTATAAACTACAAATTCCACATACAATTATACGAGTCACGAGCTCTGTTATCTGAACTGTAGATAATATCTACTATTCATGCACGAGAGCGCATTCTTCACTTAAAAGTATATGTATACCAATTACCCATAGATATTGTACATAATAAAATATATTGTTGTACATCTTCGTATTTACCTACTTTGGGTCTGTTTTTATTTATTTATTTCGTATGGCTGGTATACAAATCAACCTTGCAGAAAGCTTAGAAAGTCTTAAGCAGTTTATTTAAATTATTTTTCCAAATGCCCGGATATGGGGCATGAGGCCCTACTCAGTTGGGACCCGGGATGCGATTGCATCCCGTCATCCATTGCCAGCCCGCCACTGCATGGACGTAATTTATGCATATTCAGATTTTCATAACGATAATTTGTGAACGCAGTTCGATAAAAATCTAAGACTCTATAAATTAAACTATAATATTGTATAATAATTTATTATCTGGTTGAATTGTTTAAATATCAAAATATAACACGATATTATAATGTTATTTATTTACATCACTACGGTTTACTTATAAACAGAGTACACTCACAATAAAATATTATTTTGTTGTACGCGCGCGTTGAACTCTATTTTTCTGTAAAATATTGTATTTTTCGAAAGAATTTTTGATAGGAATTTCCTTTGCTTCCATCGGTATAGCTGGAGTATCTTTCCTATTGTCAAGGAGAAAAAATTCAACTACCCATGGATATGGAATGAAAAACATGGAAGACTTCTTGGAGGTAAACAAAATATAATACATTATATCATGTAGGTTTATATTATAAGTTTATTTCCTGATCAGGAAACCACAGTCAAAATACTTTTTTGAAAAAGGGGACATATCAGGTTTTGCACAGAAGGATTCCATACTTTTTAGCTTAGATAGGTATAGCCGTATAGCGGTAGGTACAAATATTTACCATAAGTGCCAATTTACACTTATGAGTTTGTAAATTTAAGTATTAGTAACAGTTGAAATTCACTAACTTTTAACTTGCCAAATTTAATTATTTAATCTGTAACTAATATGGAATCATGACAAGGTCGCATTAATATATTATGTTTGTAAATTTCAAACCATATTAATAGTTAAATTTACAAATCATAAATATGAGTAAACTTCAACCATAGACCTACTGATAATTTTACACATTAAATAGGTTAATACAATATTAATTCAACTTCGATATGATTTATAAAATTTAAAGTAATGCGAATATATAATAATATAGTACCTATTATATTAATAGGACGAAACGATAAGTTTTTCGATGCGGAATCGAAAGTTTTCGGTCCGTTGCCGATGATGAATTTGTAGTTGTCGGAGACGATGTCCAGTGTGGAATCTGTAAGTTTTCGAAACCGTGTCCGATATGGAATCTGTTATTTTTCGGACCACGTCCGATGAGGATTCGGGAAGTTTTCGGACCATGCCCGATGAAAACTTGAAACGACAACACAAGATCGTAAAATCAATAGGAGGTCAGTTTTCCATATGAATATTGAGTATAATTTTTTAATTAAAACTATTTTCATATAATTCCATACTTTCTAGAACTGTATATGGACGTGGTGGAAAAAGCAGGCGTGTCGAGGACCTACAAGTATGAACTAAAGAACGGCTTTGGAAACAATCGAAATGTAATCATATAATATCGCGTGCTGATAACGGTTTTTATTTGATTTTCAGCATAACTTTAAAGTGGTTGAAATGAATTGTTTGGCGTTGAAACATCACGTGGCTGACGCAATGTATACCTTTCAACAGACGGCGACGACTCAGAGGCAGATCGATCAAACAGCCGTGAATTGGAAGTGTCTTGTCTTTAAAAAGATTTTGAAACCGTTGACCTCCGATATCTGCTGAAAATACAGAGATGCAGTCCACGGAAAGTAATGTTATATATAATTATCGACCTGACTATTACCCATAATTAGTGTAATAAATTAGTCATTTCCGTTCGTTCAGCAAAACACCGAAAAAACCCGACTGTTGCAAGCTTACGTAGACTGAAGACAAGGTCTCGGTTCTTGAAAGTAATATAATATAGAAAAATAACGGTTAACAGATATAGAGTAACTAATGACGTGTGCCCGTGTAGGTGATGTGATGAAAAACTCGATAGATATAGTTGGAATAAACCACATGCTGATGTTAATGTTTGCCGAAGCTCGGGGGCTGCCGCTGAAAATGATGTGTCGGCAGGAGAAAACCTTTTCGAGCTGGACACTCTGAACGCGCAATGCCACAAACCTACCTCTCCGACGACGTCCGAATCCTTTACACCCGTCGCAGGCCCGCCTCCTGCGGAAACCTCGGAAAATTTTTGGCCGCCACCTCCACCTCCTGAAGTAACCTCGGAAAACTTTTAGCCGCCACCTCCACCTCCTGAAGTAACCTCGGAAAACTTTTGGCCACCTCCTCCATCCCATGCTGTAACCGCAGAACATTTTTGGCTGCCTCCTCCGCCTCCTGCTGTAACTTCGGAAAACTTTTGGCCACCTCCTCCGTATTTTGCTGTAACCTCAGAACATTTTTGGCTGCCTCCTCCGCCTCCTGCAGTAACTTCGGTAAACTTTTGGCACCTCCTCCGTGTCATGCTGTAACCTCAGAACATTTTGGCTGCATTCTCCGCCTCCTGCTGTAACATCGGAAAAGTTTAGGCTGCCTCCGCCGCCGACCACCGATGACGACCGGCACGGCAGCGTTTCCGCCGTTACCCTGCTGTGTAGAAGATATTAATAAGATAATGTATAATACATTCCATTTGTGTAACATATTATGTATTAGGTAAGTGTATTCTGTAATAGGTGTAGTTAAGCATTTTGATGGAAATGTGGTCATATAACCAGTGTTGAGACTTATTTAGATAATTTATCTAGATAATTATTTAGTTATCTTTTATCTTATAAGGATCGTGCGCATCCGTGCGTGGAGCCGAGGGGAAAGAATTGAAAACTTACTTTGCCCCGTGTGTCATAACGGAGCCTGAGGAGAGTTTGAGGGCAGTCGTCCCTAGCCTGTAGCCCGTCCGACTTGAAGATCTCTTCCGTTATAGGTATACGGCAGTAGGTAGTAGGTGCGTGACCTTTCCGTCCGGCATATCTATAGATAATTACAATAGAATAGAAGAATTAAGAAAAATTACAACCAATTATAAATGGTTCATAGCTTGGACCAATGTATCAGCTATGAACCATTTATAATTTGTGTAATTTTTTCTTAATTCTTCTATTCTATTGTAATTATCTATAAATATGCCGGACGGAAAGGTCAAGCACCTACTACCTACTGCCGTATACCTATAACGGAAAAGATCTTCAAGTTTAATTATCTAATGTATAATATATTCCATTTGTGTAACATATTATGTATTAGGTAAGTGTATTTCTGTGCTTAAATGAATAACCTGTTTAATACAATATACCCGAGGTATTTTGTTTTAATAATGTAGGTTTTCAAATTACATTTACAATATTATTATGAGTTATTAAAGTCTCACTATAAGACTTTAATCATTTTTAAGTCCTGAAAAATTAAATGCATAATAGGTATAGTTAAGCATTTTGATGGAAATGTGGTCATATAACCAGTGTTGAGACTTATTTAGATAATTTATCTAGATAATTATTTAGTTATCTTTTAGCTTATATAGATAAATAGTTGTGTTTTATCTAGTGTTGTTAAAATACGGTATTTTATTTTATTTTTGTATTATACTGTATTATACCTTGTATTATACGTGTATTAAACTTTGTATAATACTATTGTATTTAAGTAGGGTATAATATTTTTTTGTATTATACCGTATTATACACATTTTATACGGTATAAAATCCTGTATTTAAATATATAATATACAATTATACAATTTAAACTTGATTACTCAACCATTGTCCATTTCCTATTTGAAAATTGAGTCTTATTAATACAAATAAATATAAATAATATAAATAATAATAATAAATTAATTCAAAAGTAATAACAAGTCAACAAGTAAAGTAATAATCGAGGTAATAATTAATAATTTTAATAAACATAAATAACTCTTTTGGTTTTTTTTCCAAATAATATCTAAAATAAATGTTTAATGTAAAAAAAGTAACAATAGTAAATAGTTTTATACAGATTTTATACCATTGTATAAAATAATTCTATACAGCGTGTATAATACCAGTATAATACGATTTTATACATTTGTATTATACAAATTTACATCACTAGTTTTATCTAAATAAAATTATCTTAGATAAAAAATTCATCCATCTAGATAAATTCGTCTCTATACAAAAACATTAAATATACTTTTTACTGTAGTATCTAAGCTCAACTGTCAAATGTTAGACTTTATAGTATGTATTAAAAAAAAAAAACATCTTTTGAAAATTGTAGGTCTTAGCAATAAAAATTGAACTTAATATACATTTTTAAATACAACATAATTTTATAATGTTCGCTATCAAATCTAATAAAAATCATCATATTATAAATTATATTGTATTTTATTATAATCACATAAAAACTTTTTGTGTGGAAATTCTAAGCACCAGAAGAGTTAACGCATGGTTGAAACTTGAAATCAAACCATGAAATAACTGTTTTGATTATAATATTTATGTTCATAGGGTATTTGGATTTAAATGTTGATACTTACCATATCTGATAGGATTGATAATAAACTAACTAATTGTATACCTAAATTAAAGTTTAAAGTAAAAAAACTGTTGATTTTGTATAAAAACGAATTTATCCTCCTCTCCATAACTCCATTATAGGTACTAAGAACTCTACTACTTCATGCAATTTTATTGTAACTATTTTTACCTTGAATTTTCAAAGACAATTTCAGTGTCTTTCGTACAAATTAATGTAAATTTCATGCTAAATTGTGGTATGTCAAGTTTTTTTATTGTTATTCATTTTGATGACCGGTGCTGAAGAGACGTTTCCACAACACAGCCCATCATTTTTTGTCATGCCGGTGGAAATTTTGTCATTCAAATTTTGGGAGTAGTCGTGCAAACTCATGCTAATTTCTGTGAAAATAAATTTTTTAATTTTTGAATGGGCGGTGCCGCACTGTTCCAGAAAGTTGATTTAGGGGACAAAATTAGAATTTTCATTATCAGTGTGTCAGTGTGGTCTGTTGTCTGTGTGTCCATGTTACCATGGTTACAAGGTTGCATGGGTACTAAGGTTACCAAGATTCATA